TTTGCACACCACCAATCACCAACGACCCGCGGCCTGGAAATCTGACACCTCCACACTCTCGACACACAGATACACCAAACCACCACCACCCCCACCCCCCCACCCCCCCCCACCCCCCACCCCCCCCCCCAACACCAACCCCCACCCCCACGCGCCCCCCGAGCCACCAACAAACACAACAACCCAAAATGGCAGGACTGAGAAACACTACTACCTCACAAACTCTCACACACCACCGCAACACCGCTGCAGGCTTGGAATCTAAGCCCACACTCTCACACACAACACCCAACAACACCTGCAGGCTGGAATCTACCCCCCACACTCTCACACCGCAGACAACACCCCTGCAGGCTGGAAATCTACCCCCACACTCTCACACCACCAATCAGCCCTGTCAGGACTGAATCTACCTCGACACTCTCACACAACATCACCCCTGCATGCTGGAATCTACCTCACACTGATCACACCGACCAACACCCCTGCAGGCCCTGGAATCATATCCTCCACACTCGTCCCAACCCACCCACGAGCCTGCAGGCTGGAATCTCCTCCACACCACTCTCAAACGCACCAACACCCCGCAGGCTGGAATCTACCTCCACACTCTCACAGACACACCCAACACCCTGCAGTCTGGAATCTCCCTCCACACTCTTCACTACCACAACTACCCCTCTGGATCTGGAATCTATCCCCCAACACATCTCGACACCACCCAACACCCCTTGCAGCTGGAATAAACTACCTCCCACACTCTCACATCGCAGACGTCACCAACACCACCTGCAGCTTGGAATCTAACACCCACACTCTCACACCAACCAACACCCTGCAGCTTGGAATCTACCCCACACTGCTCACACGCACCAACACCCCTCAGGCATGGAATCTACCCCCCACACTCTCACACCACCAACACCACTTGCAGGCTAGAATCTAACCTCCCACTCTCACACCAACGCAACAACCCCTCAGGCTGGAATCTAACCTCCACACTCTCAGCACGCACAACAACCCCTGCAGTGCTGGAATCTACCTCCACACTCATCAGACCACCATCAAAACCTGCAGGCTTGATATCTACCCCCCACACTCTCACACCCCAGGACTTTTATTACCTCGCGAACGTGACACCAGTAATATACTAAACCGATCAGTGGAGCAGCTCGTGGCGATGGTCGGCGCGCATGCGCATGCCATTAAGTTAGCCGACGTCGGGGCGCAGACAGCCATAATCATGCCGTGTCCCAAGGATGACTTAATTGACAGCTGATAACTGGCGAGCAATAAGAGTGCTGTATTACGACCGAACTCATTCAGGTTATCGTCTCGGCCACGGGCTGAGACAACCACGACGCTGAAGCGAGAAGGTGGCGGGACAGCGGGGGGGGAGCGTCGACGTCGCAGCAGCGCACGCAATGTATGCACCACGCACCTCGCGCGCGAGCGCGATTAATGCGCTTAAAGCAACATGGCGGCGTGGCATTCGCCGGACTGCCCCTCG